GATAGAATTCTAATTTCTGAAACTCTGTTGCTCCAAACTTCTACGTTCTGTATCCAGAATAGTGCTGTTGAAATATCAGTCCAGTAATACTCCTTTGAAATTTTGACCTTAAGGTTCTTCTTGACAAATGAGGCTGATCACACTCCACTAAGACAAGCAAGCAATTCAAGGTATACTTACTTTTTTCAAGGCAGCTACTCGTGCTTTGGCTTGCAATAGTCACTTTGACTTTTTCTTCTTTACTTTGACTTCTCAAATATACTGCACTTGCATAAGATCTCTGTGAAGCATCAGCAAATGTATGTAAACTAAAAGATTGTCCTTCTGCTAGTAAAACTAGTCTAGGAATTTTCACAGATGATAACAAGGGTAATTCTTTGACCCACTTCAAGAATTTTCTTTTGATATCTTCCGGTAGCTCTGCATCCCAGCTCTTTTGCAGTATAACTTTGGAAGGAGTGTAAAAAGAGCAGGTGAAACCTGTTGGGTCAAAAACTCTCTATACAATTGATAGTGTGTTTCTTCTTGTCACTGAGAGATCAATCAAGTCGATATTAGGGATGTCACAAAACAAAGAATCTTCATATTTATCTCGCAGAAGACCAAGTACTTTTAATGGATTGCCCATTGTAAATTTTTCACTGCTCAGTTCTGTTTCTTCCCACCCTTATAAGTCAAAGTTAGCACTTACCATTCACTGTCAGTTGATATTGCAATAAAGTATTCTGCTTCTTCATTCGAATTCGCTGCTCCCAAAAGAAACATACTGCATTTTAGTCCGATGAAGATGATATTGAATTAGCAAATGATGACAATTGCAATATAAAACCAAGGTTTCGAAGACGCACAAGACGTCTATCGAGCAGTGATAGTGAATCTTCTCGGGAACCAGTATCAGAGGAATGGATTTGGGAAGAAGAAGAAAATGTAGCCGATATAAAAAGTTTTTCTGAAATATCTGGAATTAATCTTTTGAGCCTGCGTAGACTAGGTGGTAATCCTACACCTTTAGATGTTTTGAAAGAAGTCTTGAATGAAGATTTTTGGGACACTATAGTAGAAGAAATGAGTAGATATGCCAGACAAGTGAGAGAAAAAGAAGGTTGTGTAATAAAAAAAAGCCCAAAGGTGGTTTCCTGTAAGTTCTGATGAAATGATAGCTTATATTGCATTATGCATCTTGATGTCGCAAATGAAGAAGCCAAAAATGCATATGTATTGGTCAAAAAGATATGCAATAAGTACTCTAATTTTTGCCAGCACTATGCCATGTGATAGGTTTTTTGATATTTCAAGCTTTCTACGTTTTACGGATAATGAAAGGAAAATAAAAATGACAGAATAAGAAAGATTAGAAATATAGTGCATTACCTAAATAATAAATTTTGTTACCTTTATACTCCTGATAGTGAAGTAACTATTGATAAATCGCAACAAAAAATTATATCCGTTCCACATGCAAATATTTTCTCAAATAAATCCGTACTCAAGGGGTTAATTAAATATTCAGATCCAATTGTGTGGCACCCTATGTCTACAGAAGTCTCCTTTAATATGTATAAACATTGCGATTCTGTGTCAATAAGTGCCCTTACTGCCTTCTGCCTTTTGTTTGCGCCGATATTAACTAATTAGTGTTTGAAGACATTTTTCTTCTAGGAAATTGGTGCAAGTTATATGTTTTGTGTTTCCTCTTCTTTATTCTTTTTAATATCATTGCTCTTTTGATTGGTGGGCAAATAAGACACATGACGCCCCAATGTCTTTTCAAGCATATCAAACATCATGCATTTGTCTTGCATTGTTTGGCCCTGTGTCCAATTTTTAGGCAGAAGATCTTTTTCTTAATTTCATCATTCTTTTTCTCAGAGTCATCTTCTGAGCAACAAAGCAATCTCGGCTTTCTTGAATTTTCTCACAAAATATGCAAGAATTTTTTTCACTATAATTGGTTGCTTTATTATGGCCTGAGAATAAATCATTCTCTGTAGGCATGAAATGTTCGCCCTGATACTTTTTATCTCTTCTACTTTTTTTCTTCTCACCTGAATCAATTAATTTAAATCCAGCTTTCTCCAAAGAAATTCTATGCTCTCCTTCCAATGCATTTTTAAAAAAAAATAATTGTTTCAATTTCTTAAAGTGAAAATTTTCTGCTGTGATTATTGATGCATAATTTCTAATCCAAACTCGTAAAATTTCCTCTGGAATGCAAGATTCAATGAACGGAAACAACATTGCAGCGTATTTGTCACTTGTCATCCCTATTGACTCCAACGAACATAAATATGACTCTAACTTGTCATACAATTCTGATATGCTGCATTTTCCCTTTTGATCAGTAACATTTTTAATAATCAGACTTAATAATTCCCAAATATAGAATTCTACCAAAAATTCTTCTCTGCGGAACCTATTTCTTAAGCTTTCTATAACTTTTTCATAATTTTCAGCAGTTGCAGGGAAGCTGTTTACAATATTACGTGGTCTCATACAATCGCTTGAATGAGATAATGCATCTTATCTTCATGTACTTGTCGAAATTTTCCCAAAATGGTGACCAATCTTTAATTTCGCCACGATTGTTTTAACTCTATTTTAGGTTATTTCAGTTTCAGTTTGTTCGAATTTGGCAGCACACTGCCAATAGACTGTGTTATTTGCCGATTGAAGAATAATTCTATTTCTACTCGTATTAAATCTAATTTTTCTTTGTATTCTTCAATTTTCACCCATCCACTTTCAAATTATTTGAAGAAAATTCCGAATGAGAATCAAATGCATTAAGTTCAACAGATAAGCACGCTCTAAAGTAACAAGTTTCGTTTTCACAGATTTTTTCATCAGGAATTTCCTTTTCTAATTCCTGCAAAATAGCATTAATTGTTTTCGTAAAAAATACTCTGATAGGTTTTCATTTCTCGATTAATGATTCAATTTCAATAAAAATAAGTTCAATAAAGTCGAGTAAAATAAAATTCGATAAAAACAATAAAATTATCTTGAATTGTTTTACTGATATTGTCCACCGTCACCAAATTGTTTGAGATTTGGAAGAAGTAGGGGTTCTCCTTTCTCGTAATAAACTTAAGATAAAATAACTTTACATCTAATATTCCAAAGCATTATATTTATTTTTAAAATCTGTAGAACTACAACAAAGATCAGATGGTTGCCACTCTTACAGTGACAGACTATGAAAAGAAAGATAGCAACTAAGGCTTGGTTCTAACAACTTCTTCAGCTCATAGATGTAGCATAGTTCACAATGAGAAAAAGGAGCCTGTGGCTACAAAATTAAATTTGTAGCATCAAATGCTACAAATCGCATTGGTACTCATGCTACATATCTCATTGTTTAGGCAAGCAGCAATAGCAGCAAGGACTCCTAAAAGTAATGCCATTCTTAGGTTGCGAGCAGGAAAACGAGCAATTATTCACGAAGCAACGTGATAGGGAAGTACATAATTGATGATAAAGAGATTGTTAGAATTAGATCTTTTTTTAGAAGTGTAGATAACTCTAATATTTCATTAACAGAAATATTGTGGAATGATTTTATAGAACTGGAAATTCTTCTTTCTACAACGTATATAACCACAAAAAAAGAGCTGCATTCTGAAGAATAAAAAGGAGGCTTGTTTCTGCGAGAATGGAAAAATGCGATGTTTGTACTTTCTAAAATGGGACGGCTTATTGCAGAAGGAATCATTTGCTCAATGAAGAAAAGAGAAACTAGTTTGCTGGACAATGAGATCTTGCTGTGTTCAATATATGTAGATCCAAAACATTGAAATTTGTTGGATGATGAACAAATTAAAAAGGCAAAATAAGCCATCTATGAACTTTCACTAAGTGAAATTATTCTCAGAACAACTGGAGTATTTGAATCAAGACAGACTTGCTGCATATATTGCAACTAAGTCTCTATCATCCTCTTCCATTGATGAATTAGATTTTGAGAAATATTTGGATAATATTGAAAAAACTGAGGCAATGCAGATGAAAATAAAGAACCAAGAGACTTTAGATATAAAAATAAAAAATAAATAAAAACCAGATTTCTACACAGCCCTTGAAGAAATAAAGAAATACAATCACTCTTGCGAAACACCACCTCTTTTAGAACTTAACTGAAATCTATCTCGAAAAGTTAAAGGAAGTAGTTCTAACAAGCTTCCTCCTAATGAAGTTAGTATGGAAAGACTATATTCAGCTCTGAAATTTATCAAATCGGAGCTATGGTCCTTTAACAAAGATCTTGCCAAAGCTATACTGTTTCTTAGAAATTACTAATGCCAGATTTTCCATTTCATAATAAATGCTAATTAATATAAATAATCTACTATCTTCTTTTATATTTAAACAAATAAGTTGTAACACATGTGTGTATGTTTACATATATATATGAGGGAGTTGGTCATTTTACTGACTCCATCCATGGCCCTGCAAATTACATTTGCAATATTATAATTGCAAATTACAATATTATAATTACAAATTACATTTGCAATATTATAATAACTCAAAGTTTATATGTTTAAGTTTGATTTTCTTGCAAGTATGCAAGCTAGGCTTCGATAAAGGGTTATTTCAAGGTAAGATGGTGTGTAATGCTGAATTTGAGCAAGTCATGCACTTTCTATGTAAACATATTATTTCTAAGCATATTAATAAAAGTCATAAACTATTATGAAAACAGTATAAGTAAATCTACTCTCCCCCCTTTTTTATTTTTGCAATTTTTAACTTTTATTTTTTAATTTTTAACTGCAATTTTTAATCTTTTTTTATTTGTGCAATTTAAACTAATCCAAGTTTCATAACTGAATTACCACAACCTTTCAGATCTACTACATATATAACAATGATTGTTTTTAAAATTTTTTCATGAAGAACCTAATCTTTACTCCTCAAGTAATATGTATATTTAATAATATTGTTTTAAGAATGGATGATTTACTGTACTTTAATTCAAATTTTATGAATTCTTTTTATAGGGATGATGATGATAAAATTGACATTTCTTCTATTATTCCTCAGCAGAATGCTAAACCTAAAAAAAAGTCTGGAGGATTCCAGTCAATGGGTAACTTATTTTCCATTCACATTTTCTAAATATTTAATTAAGTATACTGATTTTGTTATTATTCCTATTTTAGCCATTTGAAAACTTTAAATCACTTAAAGAATAACTGCAGTTTAAAAAAAAAACATTTTTCTAGTATTTCAAAAACATAATTTATGTATAATGATTAGTTTACTTAACACTATATATATGCTATTTCTGCATTGTTATTCTAAATATATAAGAATATTTTTAACATATGTTTGGAAATCTTGGTTATGTATGTTGTTTCAAATAGCATAGTAATCGTCACATTAAATTAAAACTTAATCTATATTTAATACTTTAAAATTTGTAAGTTTGTTTAATTATAAAGTATTTCTAAATTACAATATGTGTATTGTGTACCATTCTGAGGAATAACAAAACATTTTTTATTTTATTATCTATTATTAAATAGCGTATTTGAACCTTAAATGTCTTGGCTTCATTTGAAATGTTCGTATTACAATTTAGGTCTTAGTTATCCTGTTCTACGTGCAGTTTTGAAAAAGGGATATAAAGTTCCTACGCCTATCCAAAGAAAGGTAAAAAATTTTTATTCTTATTAAGAATTTTCTGAAAAGTGTATGCATTGCAATGTGCTAAATTTTCCATAAAGGCAATTGGGAATTCATTATTTAATGGTTTAAATGTAATTACAAAACAGTAATAAACTAAAATCTCATTTTTTTAACCAAAATTTGTTTGTGTATAGGAGAGGGCTGAAAACAGATATGCTAATCTTCATGTAGCATGTACTACTTGTGCATATGCTTTTGAAATTACTTTTTTCTTACGACTGTATGTATTCTTTCATTTTGGTAATCAAAACAAAATTCAAGGCTAGGGCAAAGCAAATGAAAATAAAGAACCAAGAGCCGTTAGATATAAAAATGAAAAAAATACAAACAATATTTCTATGCGGCCTTTAAAGAAATATAGAAATATGATTGCACTTGCAAGGCACCTCTTTTAGAACTTATAGAAATCTATCCTGAAAAGTTAAAAGAAGTAGCCCTAACAGTAATAGCTCTTCCTTCTACTCAAGTTAGTGTAGAAAGACTCTTCTCAGCTCTAAAGTTTAAAAAATCGGATCTATGGCCCTCCAACAAAGAAGATCTTGCCAAAGCTATATTGTTTTTTAGAAATAATTAATGCCAGTTTTCGATTTCATAATAATTGCTAATTAACATAAATAATTTGCTATGCCATAATTTTTTTTTTTTTTTCCTGTAGCATCTATTACTTCTTTTATATTAAAAAAAAATAAGCTGTAACCCATGTGTATATGTTTACATATATATATATATATATGAGGGAGTCAGAGTCTTTAAAATTCCAGGAGTTGGTCAGTTTCCCTACCGACTCCACAGCCGTGTTTGCAACTGCCAAATGATAAAAATCAATCTTGTACATAAAATATATCTGATTCAAAAAATAATAAGTTGCAGTGTTTGATGTAGTTTGCAGTGTGTAGTTGTTATTATTGCACACCTTTTCAGTGCTGGCCTAGAATGTTTTGTTAATGAGAAACGTATATAATTTGCTATTTGTGTATTAATGTATCAGTTAAAATAAGAGCTGAAAATGTAGCATGCATTTTCTCCTTGATTGGCAGTTTTTGAGCTAAATTTTTCATCCTTAAAGAATTATTTGGTGCTAATATATATCACTAAAGTGCATGTATATTAGTTATCATGATTTAATTACTTTCATCTGCGACTTTCAGCTTAAACTAATTTCTGTTTATGTTTTTTGTCTTTCCATATTTTTTGAGCAGATTCTGTTTTAAGAGTATTTATCAAGTATTATTATTTTCCTGACTGTCATTTAAACTTTATAGGGTTACACTTGATCTACTTGAGTCATAAACCTTAACAGATATGAAGCTAGTTGTCACTAAGTTTGAGATCAAAGTGTTAGGAAGGTTTATCAAATAATTACAACTGTTAGAGCTATCAGAAATAATCCATGTAGCATGAAAATGCCAAAACCTCAGCTTAAATATTCTCAACTAATTTGCATTCTGGTGAGGCATACAGTAAGGAGAAGGAGAAGTTATAGTAAACACCAAAATGATAATAACTGGTTAATTTGAAATAATAACCTTACTTCTTTCCTACCAGAATTTAAATAATGACAACAAAGGACTTTAACAATCTTACTAAGATTTTAAATTCCAGATCTACAACATGGGTCAGGTTTTACAAGCATTAGGTTAAATGTCTAAAACTAAATAAAAAAAAATATACAGAGGATAAATTTCATGCCATCAGAATTTAGATCATAATCTCATGACCTTCCAGTAAGTAATCTGGAAGGAAGAATAGTTTGCTGAAGAAATATTAGCATGTGTACTTTTCAGTTGGCCATTTACAGTTTCATCACATCTTTTTTAATATTTTGCTTTTCTCTAATTCACAATGTCACTATAGTGTCGCATTGTAATATAAGAAAATGTGCACGGTATCATCAAACTGCTTACTAATAAAATCCTTCACTGTTAATAATTTTTTAAGACTGTGTACCTAATGTTCTCAGCTTAATTTTCATTCAGCCTCTTAGTGTTGGCTGAAGAGCCTAACTTTTAACTGCTTAAATTTACTTTGCTATTTTTTACTTTTGTTGAATTTTAATTTGGTGGTAATGAGAGTTTTGGCATAGTGTGAAACCTGGTTCCTTACCAAAAGAGCATACGTGCTATAAGTTAAACATAAACTTTAATTGGTGCTTTTCTAGAGCTTAACAAATCCAATGAGCAGGATATGTCAACCTATGACGTGTGAAGAATAAACCATATGATGAATATACACTGCTTAAAAAAAAGTGAGAAAGAGACAGTTATATATCTCCCATTCTACTGGGCCGATTGATGAAATTCAACTTGCGTTTTTCATGTCTCGAAAGCATGACTAGGGATATGTATTAGATTTATATATAGCATTGTTCTAATATAGGTAATTTAACATGAAATCGGACGTTTTCTGAAATGACATGTCAATTTTTTCCATATTTCGATTCTACGACTCAAATTATGCCAAATCTCCAAGTTTTGTAAAAATCGTGCGAGTAGTTTTTAAAAGACTAGCTCTCAAAATTTTAGCTCCTCCATGTTAACTGAACTTCGTATATGTTTATAAATATCTCTTTTTTCATTAAACTTATTTGATTCTTCCTTTCACATTTCAAAATTTAGGTTCATTCTAAATAAAATTTGCCTTTTTTTTTTTTTTTTTTTTTTTTTTTTTTTTTTTTCCAAAAAATTAGAGTTTTTTTATTCAAAATTTTTTAAGATATAGGTGGGTTTACACATTGGCATGTTTTGGAATTTGGCATATTTGTTATAACCAATAATAACTCCAAATCTGGTTAACACACTTTATTAAAATTCTTTGAAAGTATGAACGATGATTTTTTTCCCCGCTCATCTACAATGAAAAAAAGGAAAGGAAAATAAATTGCTATAAATTAAGAAGTTCACCAAGTGAATTATTCTTGGCATAAACTAAAAAAAAATGTGCCAAAATAAATTTTTAAATTTCATACCAAATTTTACAAAATTTAATATCTAGGCATAATTTGAGTCGTAGAATCGAAATATGGAAACAAATTGTCATGTCATTTCAGAGAAAGTCCGATTTTGTGTCAAAATACCTATATTAGAACAACGCTATATATAAATCTAATATATATCTTAAGTCGTGCTTTCGAGACATGAAAAACGTAATTTGAATTTCGTCAAACGGCCCAGTAGAACAGCAGATATAGAATAGTCCTCCTTTCCCCCCCTCCCCCGCTGCGTACTTGAGTGGGTACATGAGTTGAGTGTACTTGACAGTTCTAGGTACTTGGCGGCATAGTAAGTTATTTGGGGTTATGTGCTATATTCTTATTATAATGTCGTCTTCCACTGCAATTTTCCATGCCTTAAAATTGCAACATCACGCTGTAATACCTCACGGTTGTTGGCCATGTCAATAAGACACATCAGGAAAACATGCAGTCTTCACACCCCATTTCTTGGATTCTGCTGCGAGATTATATACTTTACCTTTTTTGGCTCAGCCCAGCCACAAAGGAGGAATGCAGATTTTCCAACAACTTTTAGTTGAGCTCATTATCCTCTTTTAGCTTTTCCTTCGTACAGCTCTGGTTGCTTGCATTTCTGTTAACAATCCGGTACAGTCAAAAGTCGTTAATTCGGACACCCATAATCCGGAATGATCTATAATCCGGACCTCAAAGCTACAAACTTTCTATGCATGTAAGACCTTTACGGCTGCGAATATGTTTGTGCGCGTGCACAAAATACGTTTGCGAGTGTGCGTTTAATGTATAACGGACGGTTTAAGCTAAGCTAAAATTATCTAATTATCTATTTCAGTTAATGTTGCAGATTGCATTGTTCCTTAATCTTCGAATTGGATCCGGCTTATTATTTTTTGCAAACTGTTAGAGCAGTTTTATAAAAGTAAGCTTGAACTTTCGATTATGTCAAATAGAATTTCTGATATATATTATGTAAAGGATTTACAAAGCGAAAGTATATTTCGAAGTTCATTAAACAAAAAGTGGAATTGCTGCAAAAAATGGATAAAGGCATATCCTTTGTTTATCTAAACTTTAACGTTTGTTTATCTAAAATTGTTTATCTTTAACGCCGTGGCGGGCACGCTATCAATTGGAAGTTGATCTGTCAGCACTATCCTTATCTTCAGGGCAGATGTTTTTATTTTATTTGGCTTATAATTCCTTACTAAATGTATTATTTCATCTCGATGAACTCCGTCTTTGATATGATTTAAATCAAATTCCTCGTCAATATAATTCGCTTCTGATAGCAAAGAAAGTGACAGAGGTTATTGAAAACGAAAAAATTTCGATTGACAAATTAGTCGGTATTCTCGACGCAGCAATTATAGGACTTGAACAGCGGAACTTTGTAACTGAACAAGAAATTGGAATTAAAGAGAATGCATTATCACGTAAAAAAACGAAGCAACTTAAACAACTTATATTGAAAGAAATGTTTAATAAAGTAAACAAATAAATATTAAGCTTTTTTTTTTTGTAAATTTTGATACCCTTTAGATCATAATTGATCTTTATTTCATAAATTACGGTTTCATATTTTGAATTTTATAATTTCTGCATGCCATCTTACCAGATTTAAACTGATGATCTATAATCCTGAAAAATCGATAATCCGGAATCGGCAAAGTCCCGACGAGTCCGGATTAACAACTTTTGACTGTATATGTAGGTTCGCTTGGAGCTTCAACCATTGGCCTGGTTCAGCATCAGTTGGTTGTTTGCAGTGTAAATTCTGGCTTGGGTACTAACATTTTCCCGATTTTGTAAACCTCATTCATTGACTGCCAACAGTTGTTGCTTATCACTTGCTTAGTCGCCACATATGAGAGATCTTTATACTTTTCTTTGACTTTTGGATAAATTTCTTGTTTTTTTCTTTCTTCTTAGCCCCCTGTTCACTACGTTCATAGTAGCACTTTAACTGGTCTGCATTTGCTTTTGGACTTTTAGTATTTAGACTTTCCTTATAGAAAAAATACTTCCCTTATTCAATTAAAAATGGGTCTTAGACCTTATTACAAAACTTCAAAACCTTTCCTTCTGGTGCACACAAAAGAGCGATATCTATGATTGTTACAATATATTGCATTGTTAGTCATCAGTGTATAAAGCCAATTAAAATATTATGGGTACTGATATATATCTAATATAGAATCTTGAGGTGGAAAATTGTGTGATACTTATTTATATTAAAACTTTAAAAGTTTTAAATCTTTTAATTTTTAAGATTGAACAAGTTACAAAACTTACTGAAAACTTATTCCTAAATAATCAGTAAAAAATTTGGTATGTGTATTAAAAATATGTATCAAATATTTAAGTTTGCTAGATTTCATTTTGAATGTGATTGCATTTTCTGATGTATGATTTTTGAAATTTCATAATTATACTGAGGTTATTTCATATTCTCTCTTTATCCCCCTCTCAGGCTATACCTGTAATTATGGAAGGGAAAAATGTAGTTGCTATGGCTCGAACAGGTAGTGGAAAAACAGCCGCTTTTCTTATACCTATGCTTGAACGACTAAAGTGTAGAATTCCTAAAGCTGGTGCACGAGCTTTGATTTTCTCACCCACTCGTGAACTTGCTATGCAAACCATGAAATTTACAAAAGAAGTGAGTGTAATTATTTATAATAATTTATGTTATTTTATTTTTATTTATTTAGGTATTTTCTGTCGTAAGATAATTTGATATTGAGCAAATTAGTAAAATCTTGTCTCAAGAAATTTATATAGATATAGCTGTTGAAAGTTAGTACGTAATCTGATTAAACATTCTGTTTTTTTCCGTTCCACCTTATTTCCAGCCATCATTAAAAATATTGATTATGTTAAAAGTTAATTTTGTTTGTGTGTGTGGAATGTAAAAATATGTTATGTTAGTATTGTAAGTAATGCAAGGTACTGCAAAAAATGTTATTTGATAAAATTATAAAAGTGTGTAGTGCTTTAAACGTTGCAGAAAAGTATGGATTAAAGTATTTAAAGGAAAATTATGTATATAGAATGCTACAATTATGTATTACCATATATGTACTCTCCCTAAAAAAATGAGACACTTCTCTATCTCCTGTTCTTCAGGACTCATTGAGAAAATTTAATTTTCATTTTTAAGATATCGAAAACACGACTTTGGAAATATATTAAATTTATATATAGCTTTGTTCTAACATATGTATTTTGACATGAAATCAGACTTTTTCTGAAATGACGTACCATGTTTTTTTTCCATATTTTGACTCAAATTATGCCTAATTTTTTTAATTTTATAATATTTGGTGAGAAATTTACCAAAAAATGTAAAAACTTTTATCTTTTTTTTGTTTTGTTTGTCACTTGGTAGAACTCTTAATTTATGGTAACCTATTTTCCTTTCCCTTTCATTACACAAGAATGGAAAAAAGGTGCAACATTAATTCTTTCAAATAATTTTTAGCAAAGTGTGTAAACCACATTTAGCATTGTTATCACCTATAATATATATGGCAAATTTCAAAATGCGCAAATATATAAATGTAATGTACTAAGTGTGCAGTCATGAATCCGGTACTTTTAACTTCTGGCTGTAGACATGGCTAAATGGATAAAGCAGGAATAAGACGTTAACAAAACTAATTTCGGCGAATTACCATCTTTATTTTTAGGCATATTAAAAATTATTTCTTCAGGGTTGCCACGCTACCTGGAGAACCGGGAAAAGTCAGGGAATTTAAAAATTGACCAAAATATTCAGGGAAAAGTCAGGGAATTTAAGCATTTTTGTCAAAATCTGGAAAAGTCAGGGAAGTTCATACAACGATCCCTCCAAAAAAAGTGATTTTTGCGCCGACGTCGGAAGAGATAACTCTTTTGGCGAATTATGTATCAGGTGAGTGTCATTCAGGTAGCTGGCATAGAGCCAATTTTCGCAGCTCCAATTTGATTGTCTTTTAGAAAGGCAAAGCAACTTTCCCGCAACTTTTGGTTTCCAGTATTCTCGAGAATCGCATGTGCAGTGCATGAATTAAAGAAAGTGCCTGTTCTCGTATAAAACAAAATGGGTTTAATCCTAGTATACAGTACCATGGAGGTTAGAATCAAAGAATATGTATTGTAAAGAAGGAAAACTTCTCTGCAACAGACGTGGCTGTGGCTCCGTTCCATCATAGAGGGAAACAGGCTGTGCATGTCTGATATATCTGTCGCCAAAGCTCGAAACCGGTGTCGAAGTTCGAAGGTCATGTTATCAAGAGTTCATGAAATGAATATCGTTTAAAATTTCTTTCCACTTGCGCTAAAAAGACGTGCCACACACGTCGAGATGCTTTTGTCTCAAACCGCGAGCGACGTGAACACCACGTCGATAAGCATTTATCGCAAAAATGAAAATAACGTGGTGTACACGTCGCTTAACAACGAGATTGTTTATTTCTCGAGTTACAGCTCTGGATTGCACTCGCAGATGCGGAGCGGCGTAAATGAGACACTTTACCGCTTGTTATATTGTAGCGCACGGCACCGCAACCGTGAAGTTTAGTCTTAGCGCAAGTGGTTAAACTCTAAAGGAAAAGAAAATATTTTTTGGTGCATGTAAATTAATTCATGGATTAGTTATTTTCAGGAAAAAAAAAAACTACGAAAATCCGTTTTTAAAATTATTGCGAAAAATCCAAAAAGAAACGCTCATTGATAAAACGTTTCTGCTTGGATTTTTCGCAATAATTTAAAAACAGATTTTCGTAGTTTTCTTTTTGTCAAAGAGCGTTTCTTCTGAACACGTGTTTCTCAATTTCCTGTACACATCGCGGAGAGGGAAATTCTGGCCGCCAGGTTCCGTCGCCAAATCCCTTGGCAAATTTTCCCTCCGCATTCTAGCGGCGGAATAACATTTTACTTGTATGGAACCTTTTCTTCTTTACATAGACGTTCTTTGGTTAGAATAATAATGGGATTTGGCGACATCGTGATGCGCAGTAAACGGGTCATTTTGGTCTTGGCGATAATTTTCAAAATCGTGCCAAAGCCTTACCGTATACTAGAATTTTACCGCAAAATCTTTTTAAACTTTTTTTTTTTTTTTTTTTTTTTTTTAAATAAATACCTTGCCATTTTGCAGTAAAATAAAAAAATAGTAATCAGTCATCTAGGCAATCCATGTAATATAACTATATTCGCTAAAATATTGTTGATTATTATAATTCAATTTTTAAGTAATTATTTTTATGTTATTCATATAATTTAATGTTGCTTCTTCCCTCTAAATTTATTTATTATTAGTAAATAAAATTTCCAAATTTCAGGAAATTTTCTCTGGCATAATCCTGAAATTACTTATAGCAGTATGATAACATACCATCACGAAATTTAATGCACATATTTTTTCCTTATGTATGCTGCGAAATTAATATAAAATACCTCAATTTATTAAAATAGATTTCTTTCTTTCGTTTAGCTGCAGAATGTCTGCAAAAAAAGCCTTATTTTATTCCAGATTGGGAAGATTCTAATCTCAATCTTCAGAGGAGAAAACAAAAACTATTATAATTATATTTGTGTTTTCAAGTGTTAAGGTGCCTTTTAAGAACATACCTCACGCAAATTAAATTTACCTAAAATCTAACCTAACTATTTAGCATTGCGTTGTGATTTATAAGGACCGGATTAGCCTCGTGTTGAACTGGTGATGATCATGAGTAATAATTAAATAAAACATACATTTGTTATCCAGTGTATATATCTTAAATTTTATTAAGTTTCTTAAGTGGAAAACTAAACAAAATTATCAAACAAAGTATACCAAGAATAATTAAGAATAAATGTCCTCTGGGATTTATTGAATAATTAAGTGAATTTGCTACACAGTACAAGTAATACCATAATTAATTTACCTCTTAGCACAGCCAACGTACATTATGCGGATAGACTGGAATTTTCTTGAAACACACCTGGAAAACCTGGAAAAGTCAGGGAATTTCATTCTCCTGTTTGAGTGGCAACCCTGTTTCTTTGGTAGACAAATTGCTTTTCAATCATAGTTGAATACAAATAATTTTTATATATACAGATAAAAAGCTAGGATGTCATTTCAGGCAGGAAGTATAAGCGGTGGGGAGTTATTTGAATGGCAGAAATCAGGAAAAAGGGGAAGCGTAGTGCTTGTGACTCAGTATTTATACTTTGTAGGTTCAGAAAGTATTCTAAGCTATGATTGGTCTATATTAGTTTTAGTTACCTTTTTCAAGCAGATCTCGTATTTGGGAGAACAGATGAATTTAGGGGGGAAGCACCAAATTTAGAAAGTTAATTTTGAGGTTACCAGTTATTTTTTAAAGCAGCCATCATATTTTGTTATATCTTACATAAATTCACGTATATCTTGGGAAATTTTGAATAAAAACTCTTAGCGTATTTGACGGCATATAAGACGCACCCTTATTTAGAAGGCCACACACAGGGGGGAAAAGTTTCAATAGTCCGCGCAACAGCGCGATACCACAATAACTTAAAATGTGGTTTCTTTTAGTTCTCACGTTTCGTAAAAGCCAAATAAACAATCATTGAATGCAATTACCAAACATATTTTTATTAAGGAAAATTAACCAATGGCAAGCTATTTTTGAACATGATATGTAGATTTCAATAATGAATAAATGAATGAACGGCAAACAATCAAACATAATACAAAATAAAGCAGAAACAACAAAAAACACAGATTCAAGAAAATGTTGCCTATCATGAAATTAGACTTTAATCACTTCCAAAACCATAAAAATACTTTTTACTATCATCATCATCATTGAAAACGAGAGTATCGTCATCACTACTGTTTCCATCATCGCTAGTATCACCTTCTTCCAATAATGCGTCATCTTCTGTTCCATCAAGAGCATTACTGATTCTTCACTTCTTAAAGGATTTAACAATGACTTCAGCCTTTACGTCCTTCCAAGATCTTTTTACTCACTTGCACACTTGTGAAATAAAGGGCCGCTTCATTCTACCTGAGGGTGTGGCTTATTCACCGATACATCTAAGGGCTGCAATTGGCTAGTCAGTTCACCAGGAATGACAGCTATCTGGGTTTTGAATTCTCTTGCCTTATTCTTTATGGTTTCAGTTCTATTGGCGCTAAACTGATCCAAAACCAAAAGAGAGGGTTTTCTTAAGAGTTCACCAGTTTGCCTTGCCCATATGTTCTGTAACCACAGTTTTCCAGCTTTGTCCATCCAGCCTTTCGAATGAACATAAACAATTACACCCGTTGGAAGTTTTTCTTTCGGATGAGTTTTTCTTTTGAATATGAAAAACGGCAGTAGTTTTGTGCCATCAGCACAACATGTTAGAACTACCGTATACAGTCAAAAGTCGTTAATTCAGACACCCATAATTCGGAATGATCTATTATCCGGACATCAAAACTAAAAACTTTCTGCGCATGCGCCAAGTTGACACATGCGCAGAGGCGTTCACGCGTGCGCGTAAGACCTTTTACGACTGCGCATATGAGTGTGCGCAAGTGCAGAATACGTTTTTGCGTGCGCATTTTATGTATAATGGACGTATAAGCTAAAATTATATAATTATCTATTTCAGTTAATGTTGATGATTGTGTTGTTCCTTAATTTTCGAATTGCA